GATCCTGATAGACTTAGGGCAACAACTCATCCCTGAGTGTTCCGCCCTTTTGCAGTTCAGGACCATGGTCTCAGACTCGAAGGTGTTAATTCCGATTTGCAATTTAGAACAAACATTCATGTTGCCCTTTTGGAGGCAGTCTGTTCACTTTGTATCAGTGGCCATCGTCAGCTCAAATGACAAATTTACATTTTATTTGTGACAAAATGTTTTTGTTTTGGGTTTTTTTGCTTTTGAATGCTAAACTAATATCTTCAATCATCAGTCTGTTGGCACTGTGACTGATACATGCCCGGATAAATTGAGTGAGAGTTTGTGAGTTTCTTTGGCTTTCTTATGCCTTAGACCAGTCAAACAAATAGTTTTTGGCTGATTTTGAGTTTGAGGTTATACCAGAATTACATTAGAGCAGGTTGTGCCACAGATGGCTGTTCTATTGAAATGTGGTTATACGGCTGCATTTCTCTAAAAAAAATGTTTTTTAATTTCTGAACTCTTTGAAGTCTGTGTATTGACACAGTGTGTCACTACATTTCATGGTTATTTTTAGCCATATATTTGTTGTAGACAGCATCTGGGTCACTGCCCTCTGCAGCAGTGCCAAGTTGGAAGCAAAATCATCTCAAACTGGGAAAAAAAAAAGTTTGAGTTTATTTGAACCACAGCTCATTCTGCACTAGACTCGTCTCGCATCATCAAAGGGGCCCTCTACTGCTTATTTCCATTTTAGTTTTTTTAACTGATTTGATCTACTATAGTAGCTTTGCATAATTCACAATTCAAAATAGTCATTCATCTTATACTGAGCCTCTATGTAGCCACAGTTTTAGCTACTGTCCCTTTAAGTTCACCCTCCCTTTCAGACAACTTTCTTCTGATTGGCTGCCCCTCACGAAGAGATGTTGTTAACGGTATGTGGGTGGGGCTGTTCCCGCTCTCTGACCCAAACACTGAAGCCTGAACTGTTGGCTCATGAGGATTGCCTTAACTCACACTTTCCTCATTATTTAAATCTTTAGCCCTGTCAATATGGACATGCATAATAGCACCATTTTAACCTATTATGGCGCCAGTGTCTGGCAGCCTCGCCTCTGTCAATGCGCCCCAGGGTGGCTGTGGCTACAATGTAGCTTGGCATCACCAGTGTGTGAATGTGTGTGTGAATGGGTGGATGACTGGTTGTGTAAAGCGCTTTGGGGTCCTTAGGGACTAGTAAAAGCGCTATACAAATACAGACCATTTACCATTTATTAATTGTGGGGCCACAATTAAGCTGTGCATGAGTTATCACTCATGTTCTGTGGAAAAAAACAAAAGAATCCAAGCACCACAGCAGAAAATATTCAGTAAGCGTAACAAAGATTGATAATGATACCAATAATGATAATAAACGTGTTTTTTTTTGTTTTGTTTTGTTTTTTAAAAAGAGGATTCCCAACTGTGCCCAGTCACAGTTCTGTCCACACAGCTTTGTTAGAGAGTGACCTGCTGAGACACGATACATGTAAAAGCAGCGGTCACTTCAGTTAATTGCACGACAACAAGAGGCCTTTTCTGTCCCTTCCAGTGACATTTACGAGGGTTAAGAACCTCTCTAAAGAGCTGCTCTTAGTTGTTGGTGTTCTCCTAATGATAATGGAAATGTGCGTCTGGATGTTGACCAATGCTTTGACACTCTGGCAACAGTACAAAACACACCTAAACTCCTTCAGAGATTTTTATAGAAGCCTATAAATTGCTCTGTCACATTTTCTTTTCTTTTTTTTATATTTCAAACTTGATATGTTCGAATCACACGGAGCTGTTGATAAGCGAGTGTTCCGTATAGAACAGTTGTTGGCTAATATCCAAAGCGATTCGCTTTTAGGCATTTAACATCCCGCTAGCTGTTACCTTTTGCTTTCCTTTTGCTGTACTTGTGCTCTTCTGGATACAAACGTCACTCTGATCACTTTGGCAAATGTTTTTATCTTTGCGCACTGTCAAACACAGTGAAACTGTATCTTTAGCCTCCATGCATTTCGTCCATTATATCCGGTATATTGTTATTGTAACAGTTCAGGTTGAGCTTTTGTTACTATATTTTTTTGCCCATTTTCTAGGATGAGACTCGAAATCTAGTGACTTGAAGGAGAAGTGATCAGCACCATAACCTGGGCAAACTAACTTAGGGCTTTAAATTGAATTAGCCTTTCAATTAGTGTGATTTATTGTCAGGAGAGCAGTGCCTCTGACATCGTTTATCTACTTTCACATCTGTTGCTGACCTTTGATTCTCACACTTCAGGCTCGTTAACCCTTCGGAGGAGACCCTTGAGTCGGGGCTTAGCAGGGAATTGTCAGAAGAGCTGGGCCTGGCTTTGCCAATCTCTGTTGAAGATCATGTGGATTCTTGCTATGCACCTCCTTCCTCCCCCTCCTCCTCTTCACGTCTTATCACTCACTTTTATGTGAAGAAGATGGATGAAGAGCAGATTAGGGAGGTGGAGAGGGCAGCTGCATCCACTGCAGCAGATCACGGTTTGGAGGTAATGTGTCCTTCCAGAGTGACTGATTGCAGCGATTTACCTGATCTCATGCTCTGATCCTCACCACCTTCTTTCTCTGCCTGACTCCAGGTCCTGGGAATGGTCAGAGTCCCTCTCTACACCATGAAAGGAGGAGGAGGGCTCGCATCCTTCCTGTCGCACTCTTTCATCGGCAACGCTCGCTCCCAGCTGGTCCACTCGATGCTGAGACTCAACCTGGTCGCCCCCGGGGAGTTGCACACAGCCCTGACGCACTCTCTAAAGACTCATGCACACACAAAACAGGACCTGCAAGCAGCCCTGGCACTGACCCAGGGATTGAGGAAACAGTTTTTAAAAAATGCAACTGCATTGCTACATCCTCTCAAAATGTAAATACAGATCCATCAGGACTGTTATAGACAAAAGGTGATTTCAAATCCACTGTAACTTATATTCTGGCAACTCCCCGCCATACATTAGTATGGAAAGCCAAAGGTGGGAGGCCAGCAGCAAGAACAGAGCAGGCATTAAGGACAACGGATATGACACTAATTGAGTCAGACATGGCATTAAAATAAGAGAGGCAGGAGTGGAGGTGGGTTGCAAAGCGGCTTGTAGATGCACAGTAACCGTGGGCAGACTGAACCGGCTTAAATAGCGTGCCCTATTTGAGATTTGTCAATTAACTGTGTAGAAGGGCCTCAGCTGAGCTTGATTTCCGTGGTCCGCCTGAACTAACCCTATGCTCGGTTTTGACCCTCTGCAGCACAATCTCACACATAAACCTCCACACTCACACTCATGCTGTCACGCTGACTCTGAGCTGGTGACTCATAATTGCATACTGTGCACCAAACAGTTTGGGGCAAAACATTATCAGCTCCCTTACAATTAATGGAAATAAAGCTGTTCACACTGCCCATCACTTCTGAGTCTTTCCTGTCATTTCTCTTCATTTCAGTCGTCAGCACTGTGTTGATTTCAAACAGCCAAAATTGAAATGCTAATTACAAGGCGCGAGAGCATTTTTTAATTTATTTTTTTTTACATTTACAGTCACATCTTTATGTGCTGGTGAAGATTACTTTTCTGTTATTCTAGCAGCAATTTTGACACTTATCTCACAGGCATCTATCAAAAGTGCTACACAGCACTCAGAGAAGCAACATAAGATGAGGGGTTGCCTTATATGGCATTGCATAGGCACCCTGTGGTTTCCTTTATCTGCTGGTATCAATAATGAGGCAGGATGTGTATGATCTACAGCCTTTTCAGTCAGAAGGGATTCTTTGTCTGTGTGCTCCTGACATTTCCTTTTCTTTCTTTCTTTTTTGCTGTTGTTGGTAGGTTTCATTTGAAGTTGTAGCACATCAGCAGTGGTGGTGCTGGTGGTGGAGGATTAATTACGTCCGTGACATACTATACAGCCTGCAGGCGAAGATTTGATTCTGTTTAAGTGCACCCTTGGTGCACATAACGCGCTTGCTCCAGATGTTAGTAACCTCATTCCCCAACATTATTGCTGCCAGTGAGGAAGAGCAGAGACAGCATGTTGCTCAGCGTCCATGATACCTACTGTACTGAAAGTACAAGATCCATTCTCTTGTTTTATTTTATTTTTATTTATTTTTAAATCAGTCAACTTCTGCAGGTGCAGGAGCATCATTTATCCATGTCATATTATTACTACACTGCATTCATCCTCCTGCATTCATCAGATAAAAGCTGGAACGCGTGGAAGAAATGTGCAGAGTATCCCGCTCGTTCACTCATCTAACATAATGGATTTCATGGGGACTTATTGCATTCTTACAGGGGTGTCCATTAATCATGGCTACATGCAGATTGACTCATCATCGAGCAGGTGTTAATGCTATTAGTGATGAAGGTAGAATTAATTTGTGCAGCGCAGTACGGTGCGATCTGCTGTCGGTGCGCGTCTCTCGATCCGAGCGTGTTTTTCTGAGCTGTCAGGAGGAAGGAGGGGGGGATACGCACCACATCCGACACGATAGACAGGAAGCAAAAGAGACTGGTAGTACCAATCGCTCATGTCTGTGGTTGCCTTTTATGTGATCCTGTGGCTCTTTTTGTGTATCAACGGTTGCATCTTGCATGACAGTAAGGTGTGTGTGGGGGGGGGGGATAAAAGGATGCTGTCGTGTGCTGCAAGGGAAAATAATACAAGGTCATTAGGAAACATTTAGAAAAAGATCGGTGGGGGTTGGAGGGTAGTGCAGTGTAGGTGAGGGGGATGGATGGATGCAGGGGGAGAGAGAGCAGGAGCGAGGGATGCTGAGGGAGAAAGACGGTATATTCATAGCAGCAGCGGTATTTATAGCCGCCCAGAGGAGAGGAGAGAGCGCGGGGGCGTGGCTTATAGCGCTGCTTCGCATGGCGGAGAGGGAGAGTGGGGAGGAGAGAGGCAGCTCTGGTGCGAGTGAGTGAGCGAGAGGAGAGGCTATTTGGCAGGAGAGGGAAGGAAGAAAGAAAGGCGGGAGAGAGGGAGGGCTGTTTTTTGAGTGAGCGAGTTTGTGTGTGTGTGTCCCTGAGAAATAGAGAGAGAGGGTGGAGAGTACTGAGCTGAGAGAAATCTGTCAGATTCAAACACACTGTCTGTGTGTGTGTATGTGTGTGTGTGTGTCTGTGGTAGAAAGAGAGCGAAGGATGTAAAGAGAGGTGGAGAGCTGAGGAACACACAGAAAGAGACCGAAGAGGACCACAAAGTGAGGTATGTACGGCTGTCATGCTGCTCATAAATCCAGAAACAACCTGTGTGTGAGCATGTGCATGCGTGACTGAAGTGAATATGCCTGTGTGTTTATATATAGTTTGGTGTCTTAAATGGACACTGTGTCCTCTTGGGGGGGTTTGTAAGTGGACAAATGGAGCTACTGGCTGTTAGAGGAGTATCAATTATGTAATACAGTGTGCACCATTTTCACTGTTGATGCTCTGTATATGAGTGTGAGTGTGTGTGAGAGAGAGTGTGTGTGTTTGCGTGCTTGTGTAATTATGCTGAGATGTTTATGTGGCCATTGTGTGGAGCCCTGCCACTGTGCCTTGACCATATGGGGTGATTTACAGCCACTGTTAAAAACAAAAAAACACCAGTGCTGATGGAGCTGTGGAACCTTAAATCCCACCTGCTGGGCTTCTCACCTATAAGGAGTTCACAGCTATTTTCATTTTATGTTATTAAGGCACGCAGATAAACAAGCTTCTCAGAGGCATCTGCAAAGTAGCGCTCCCTTTGTGCTGTTGGTTCACAGTGCAACAACAAAGATTGTGATGGTAATGTAAGACAGCAGCTCGAGTACAGACACAGCAAGCGCAAAAGCTTATGTAGGAAGCCGATTGGTGTGTTTTGTTTTCTTATTTGATGAGTTTACCTTTAGTTAAACTCAGGAGGAGCAGCAGATTCGAGAGCGACATTGTTGCACTGGGATCACGATAAAACTTGAAATTCTCACGTTGATTGAAATCGTAGCCCTTCCGGCTCACAGGTTGGCCTGATCTAAGATGCAAATCCCTGACCTCAGATGGCAACACGAGCGTCCTTGCTTTCACTGCATCAAAACAACTGCACAGACAGTGGTGTGCTTCAAGCGTGTTTGCTGTGCTTGCACATGCATAACGTGGTGCTAATTTTGACCTACTCCACTTCCCTCATGTGTTGATTTGCCAATGAGCTGTGCCGGACACTTAAGTGACATTACAGGAAATCAGGCGTGACACTTTTTCCACAGAATTTGAAACCACATGTGGTCACAGTCTTTAGGTCACAGCCGTTTTAAACCAAAGGATGCAGAACAATTTAACAGTAATTTTACTTTCTATCTATTGATGCAGTCATATGCTGTAACCAATTCAATATAGGTGAATGTATGTCAGGTAGGGTGGACCTGCTTTATAACTATTTTATGACCATAACTTCAAATTTGTAATAGCAGGTCTGGCTGAAAGATGATGGAGTCAAAAGTAGTTTTGTTTCCGTAAATGTAGAACAATGGAAATGGAAAGTGGCCTCAAATATGCTTACTATTAATATATATGCATATCTTAAAAAAAAACTGTAGTTAGATTTAGTAGCAGTTGGAGATATTTGTGTAAATGTCCCTGATTTCATATTACAGTGAGATTTTCTCTTTCAGTACTGTAGACCCGAGAAGCAAAAATATTAGTAGAACTCAACCTAAAGTGCTGATTAATTATCTCACTTGGAGAAGGTTTCAGCGCTGTGCTCAAGCAGTTTCAGCTGTGCCTGAGGAGCGGATGTGGCCTGACAGCCTTCCACCCCCTCACACTGCCCAACTGTTTCATTTCACCTTTTTTTTCTGTTTATGATATCTGACGGGATCTACAGGTATGCATTCCACAAACATTGCCTGTAAATGATCTTCTGCATTAAAGTCAGCCGTGGCAGGACATGAGTGGAAATCTTTCTGTGCCCCCTGGCTTTGGTTTTGTAGCCCTGTCTGTTTCACAGTTACTCTCAGTGCTTTTGCAATTAGGTATCATGCCAGAATCTAAAAGGCGCCTGCCATGTGTATAATATGGCTACTGTGCTACTGCCAGAAAAAAATGTATGTCCTTTTGCAAATGTAAATCTTTTTGCTCTGTGCGGTACTTAGTGGACTGCTGGCCGCACTTTTTTTTATGGGATGAATTCCATGTGGTTCTCCTCTACCACCTTGAAACTAGCTGACCCTGTGCTGTGTGTTTTTGGCAGTGACGCGAGCCAGGATTAAGCTGCTGCTAAAAAATTTTGGTGAGATTTTCAGGTAACAGAGTAATTCTCTACAGATGGTGTGAGAGGAAAAAAAACCTGTGGTAGCATACTATTATGCAGTTTCCTGTTTGCTGTGGAAGTTTCTGCACAAGCAGCACTTCACAGGGTACACAGGAGTGTATAGAAACTCTGGCAAGAAGCAAACAAACCTGGATTTTGGCTACTTTGCATGGCGAATATAGCATCCTAAATCTCATGGCAGATTCTAAATAAGTTATGGGCCTGGAGTCGGTATGAGTTTGTGCTACCTTTTGTTGTGATGCAGTCACGTTGGCTGTATACTGTGGTTTCAGAATTACCGTCATGCAGCCAGTTGGCTGACAAATAAGGTAACTTCCAGCAGTTGAAAGTCGGTTGATACACACTACCTTTCTAGTTATCTTGATGACTCAAATCATTTTACACTGCAAGTCACACTCAGTCATTCACTAATACTGTTCTTTTGTAGAGTCTAAGCAAAAAAACTGTATATCAAAGATGGATGTAGCCACAATATCATCACTTGGGTTTTAGACTCCGTAGCTTGAAACCTCAACGTTAGCATTTTACCTTCTGCTGTGCTTTGCGGGGGGATTTTGTAGATCCATATAACCATATCTGGAAGGGAGTTCTAAGTGCTAAGTTATTAGTTAATGCTAGCAAGCTTAGCAAGGTGCTTCAGGTTGTAAACCTGCTAATTAATGCTACGTAGGATTTCACTCACTAAAACTGACTCATTAACTTTTTGGGCAAGAAACTCCGCACCACACAGCAGGCCATATTATTGATCAGATAATTTTCTTAAAAAATCTGCCAAGTGGCACCAACAACACAAACATGGTTGAGGCTGGTTGAGTTCAGGAATCAGCAGAGGTCAAGCAACCTGCCAGCAAAAGTAGACGCACTTAAAATTTTACAGCTCACTAGTATGGGTAGCATTGTCCACCATACCTTGGTTAACGATGAAGGCAAAACTTTTGTTTTGTTTTGTTTTTTTAATCTAGGCTTAAGCTGGACATTTTAACAATGGAGCAAATGGGACGTGACTTGGTTTTGGAGCCAGCATCAAGTGGACAATAAAGGAAGTGTAGTTTTCAGTTCATCTACTTTGGTTAAATGTAAAACCTGTTGAAGTTGCTGTTGTCTTTTAGCATGTGTCAACATCTAGCTGTGATTTGTAGTCAGAGAGGTGAAAATTTAAAAAAAAGGCTACAAAAACTCACTTTAAAGAGTTACTACAGAAAGTCAGTGTTGCATTTTCACAAAACTGGGATACTCAAACCAGACGACTTTTAGAAACAGTGGTCAAAATGGAAGCAGCCAACTTCTAAGATATCTACACATTCAGCTGGTTATATGAGAAAGCTCTTCATGAACCATAACGTGACTGGACAGCGGGTTTTATTCAGTGTCTTTCTGCCCACTACAGAAGTTTTATTTATTTATTTATTTTTAAATTTCACACCCACGATGTGTGGCATGCACTTTCTCTTTAGATAACTCTGATTACATCATCAGGGTTTCCTCTAAACCATTAAACATTTATGATCATGTCCTGAGAAGTATCTCAGGACATACCTTATCATGATGAGAAAACAGAATTGGCCGAAGGTGTGATCCCTCATTTAGGTTACCTCCCTTTGTGTGGAACAATATATGCTTAAAAATACATGATGCAGCTATATTTTTCCATCCACAGGTCCAGATTGTTGATGATTTATGCAAATTCTGCTTCATCAGTATGCTTTATTTACATTGCACATTGCACAATAATATGACGTGCCAGACACAGTATGGGTTTATACTTTTCTTCTTTTTTTTTGTAAGAAAAAAAAATGTAAACATTTTTGTTAGCTGGTGTTTATCCTACTCACTCCTCCTGCAGTATAAGCTGCAACCAGCTCCATCCTGTCCCAGGTCCTGATTGCATCTAAAGGAGGCTCTCCAATCAGCACGTCAATTGATCAGTGTCACACCTGACTCTGTCTGACTTGGGCTTTCACATCAGTCAATGCACAGCTGGAGCATACATTAGCATATGATCGTGTTTGGCATGATCATGCATTCATGATTTTCAGCATTCATCTGTGGTGACGACGCTGCTTCAGCACCTGTGTCTGCAGTGCTGTTGAGCGGAAGCCTAATAGTTCCCAAAAGTCAGCTTTTCGGGAAGTTAGATCATCTGGCCGAGGGTCCCGCTGGCTGACACCCATATGTTTCCTTACTTGTTTTTATGATTTTTTTTGTTTGTTTTTACAGTTTGGCTATGTCTTGAGTTCAGGGGGTTTTGGGATGGTTTTCCTCCGAGGCAGCTGTGAGAAGTCTTACAATTTGCAATTAGACAGCACAACATAAAGTTCTGCACAGTAACATGGTCAACATAGCAAATCGTTGCTGGCTAACAGTAGTGTCAGGAAATCCCCGTGCAGTATCAGCATAACATCTAACACAATATCATCCTTGTATTGATTCTGCTTAGTGTCCCTTTTTCTTTTTTCCTTTAACTGACATTAGCAGGAAACCCCCTCGATGGCAGTAAAGCTCTAAGACACCCTACCACATTTATCCTGCCCTGTCGTCAGTCTGCTTTATATTCACCACGTGCACCGCGTGACCTCTTTCATTCAGTGACCTTGACTTTAAGTATGAAACACTGCTCCCCTCTAACCTCTGTCTCTCTGTCCCGGCCGCCACCCACCCCCACTGTTTTCCCTCGTCTTTTGCTGAATCCCTCACATCCCCTCCTCTCTCCTCCTCAGATCATTTACAGTGGCTTTGTTCTGTGCAGATTAAGGTCGCACGCTGATGAAGGCTTCCTGTGCCTCCAGAGGTCTCGGGACCCTCGGAGTCTCATTTGCAGATTTTCTCTTCGCGTTCGCTCGCTCTGCTTCCAGATTTACTCTCCACTTGAAACCATGACTGACTATGTCTGGATCACATTCAGTGAACTGTTTTTGGAGGAAATGAAAGCACAGGTCTGACAACAGTCGTTAAGATGGCATTAAAGAGATGCCAGGCCAGTTTTCTTCTTTGTTTTTTATCTCCTTGAGTGTGCCGTACTGCCGTACAATCTACCTGCATCAACAGTATTAACTTTGCAGTATAAATGAAACTGCATTAAACCACCTGGTGTCTTTTAACTTCAGTTACTTTTATGAACTGAACACAATTGATTGCTTGTGGCGGATTGAGGAACAATTTCCACTGAAGGATTTTTTTTTTGTATTCTTCACAGGGTTCTGAAACCTGTTGAGAAACTGACACAGGATGTGGGGGGTGAAGCTGCCTCTGTATATATGGGTGTGTGTGTGCTTCCTTGCATGTGTGTTGAAGTTAAAAGTGAGAGATGAGTAAGAAACTGATTTTCATTGACAGCCTCGAAGGACTTGAAAGTCGTCCTCAAAGTACAGAAAATCAAGCGCACTTTGCATTCTCTAAATATGTTATTTCCTCCCGGTCTCTTTCCTGTTGGCTTCTCTTCTCTGTATGTTTAGTTATGCATAGGCACAATATATTTACATTATGAACTTGTGAACATGACACGTCACAGCACTATGATTTGACAACAAACAAAACAAAAGATAACCAGACCTTATATTACACAGTGAATGGTAAAAAATGTTTAAATATTAAGAGCACTAGACCAGAAGATGATTTAAGTAAAAAAAAAAAACCTCACCCAGTTACCAAGCTTAAAAGGTTATTCTGTGTTGGAGAAACCAGCTTGTAGCCATTTTAAAAACCCAACCCAGTGTGATATTACGAGGTTTAACCAATGAATAACCTGCCAACTAACTGAATACACTGAGGTAGGGAATAGACACCACCTGTTTGCACAGTAGAAATCATTAGCAAACATAGACTGTATATATGTGATGGATGTAGCCACTGTTGTTTCATGAAGTCCTTTTATGAAACCCCAAAGTCAGGGCGCTGTCTTAGTACTTTGGAAGAAGTAGTAACTATATTTAGGCTGGGGATGTGCACGTCGGGACATTTGTATGTTGCTGCTCTTGTTCGTCTGCGTCAGAAATGCTAGTAGGTTAAACATAGTTTGTTAGTGCATAATTGCAGTTGTTTCAGAGATGCCACTAGCCAGGATGATAGCCCCTTATTTCTTTTCTTTTTCTGCTATTCTTTTCTAGATTAGCTGGGATCATCGTCCTGTTGCATCGCCCAGTTTCAGTCGAGCTTTAGCTATGTCGAACTTAAAGTCAAAGTTTTCCGTGTCCGAGAAGTGGCTAACCTTTTCATCCGGCTAAATCACCACGGTAACTTATGCTGAACACATAATGTTGTCTGGAACAGGCTATTCTCAGAGTTTCCACTTAAAATAGACTGGAAGCGCTCCGTTTTCACTCATAAGCAATGTCTGAGATGAGGTGTTTGCGCTGTTAAGCTGTGTTTGGTTGTTGCTGTGCTTTCATTTCTGGAGTCATCTCCAGTTTGGTCTGGTCTGTCCAGAAGACGTTATTACAGAAGTCTTGTGGTTTCTTCATATTGTTTGTTCAGATACAACTTTGTAAACCTAGGCTGTGTTTCCATGCACTCTCATTTAACATGCTGTCTGATGTCTGTACTGTCTGAGATGTGGCTCTTGGGTTTTTTGCAGTTTGTGTGAGCTCTGCACAGTCTGACCTTGGGTTGGATTTATTGGACTACCCACTCTCGGGAAGATTGTGACATTGTGTGAACACACACCTGGATGCTCCGAACCAGAAAACTGCCAGAACGTCTGGTTTTATAGAGGTGCTCAAGCAGGCTACTGATCAATTAATGAAGTACATTTGATTATCACCACCTGGCTGCTATGAATTGACTCACTTCTGGAGTCGGCCTCTACTGGCCATTTTTAGGAACTGCAGTTTTTTGTCTCTTACATGTTAGCATCCCTTTTCATCTCGAAGGTTGGCTCTTGTTTCACTAATGCCTGTAGATGGGTATAACAAGTATACAATACTATAATGGGTATAACTTGAACTAATGTTCTCTATAGTGCTTCATAAAGAAAGTTGTCTCGAATTAAAGTTGAGGAGCAGAATTAGGGGATCTCACAACAGATTTTTATGTCTTTTACCTGATGGTTGATGTTCTTCTCAGCCTGAGTAGCACATACATGGACTTTGCTGTGTTAGTGGGGTCACCTCTTAACACAAACCAACCCTCAAACCAAGAATGACAAGTCATTAATAGATCAGCAAACCACAGGTGATTGAAAAAAAAACATAGACCAGTGTGTGGTTGTTCTCTAACCAGCATTTATATATATGCGCTTCTGGAAAAGAAAAAAAAATCACTGAATCACTGGAGGTATTTCCTTGCCTATTACCTTTACGGACATCCCCAACAACCAACCTCGAGGCTACGACTGTCCCTCATTATTGGTGTTACTCATCACCTCTCATCTCCCTCCCACCCCAGTCCTTAATCCTTCACATCCCCATCACTCTGCCCTCTTACTGTCCATTCTCTGCACCACCCTTGTCTCTCCACCCCTCCTATTATATCTCCATCTCTGGTGTCACTGTCCCTTTCTGTCTTGTCAACCTGCCCCCATGTGTCCACTTCCTCTCATTCGTTCACTCTCTCATTGCGACCTCCATAAATCTGTTCCTGCTGCCTTTTTCCTCATCCATATCCAATCTCATTGTACTTCTATCTTTTTTTTCTCCCCTGCCCGCTGCTCAGACCAGCTCACCTATGGATCACCGTTCACATCGGAAACCCAGGGGATTCCATGGACGCATCGACCTGACTCACATCCCCGCCAAGAGCAGCCAATCGACACTGATGCCGATGCACTGCACTCAGCTGTAGAGCAGTGAGGCCAAGGGGTCAAGGGTGAAAGGTCACAGGCTACTGATCAAGAGTAGAAGCTGAGGTTACAAGGTTTCAGAAAGGGGGAAGGACTGCGAGGCTCCGAGAAGCTATCGGGAAGGAGCGTCTCAGTGACAGACGAGGGCCAGGGGATCGAAGATGATGACTTCACACGGAAAGCTGAGGCGGGAGAAGGGGAGCCTGGCTGAGTATGAATCGCAGATGAAAGGTGAATATGCATGCGCTTGTCTCCGTGTATACGCTTGCGTTTGTACATGTGCGTTTGCCTGCACACATGACTGCACACAAGACAGCACACGGGCAGTCATGCATGAATGTGTGCACTGCGCAGTCATCCACACACACCCACACAAATATACATAACACACACAGTATCTGAACATATGTGTGCGTACTCAAACCTAAGCTCCATGCAGAGTAAAGGGAGGAGAGCAGAAAAGGTTGCCTAGAAAGAAGCAAATCATTTTTGTGTAAGTGAAAACAAAACAACAAAAAAAATGACCAGTGCTGGCGTAAAGAGGTTTTCTCATGACACCAGCATGTTTGTGTGTGCGCATGTGTGCGTCGTGATTTGGAGGCTTCATGCCGTGGCTACCTGGCTCTGTGTACTGTACTACAAGGGTGTATTTATAGCTAGTATTAGTGATGCTGTCTCCTCACATCCAGTCAGCCCCGGGCTGTGTACTCACACAAAGACAGAGGAAAAAGAGTAAAGAGGGGAAAGAAGGAGCGGGCGGAGTAGAGGGATGAGCAATGAGAGGGTGGGGGTAGAGGGGCAGGGGGTGAGTCGGACGAGGTGAAAGAGCAAAGCGAAGGTAGTTTTTCTGAGAGAATGATGTTTGTATTAGCCTTTTTAGAGCAAATAGCAGCACTGGGTCGCTGTGCTATTGCTTTAGTTGTGTTTGCATACAAGCTAGTGTGTAATACATATAGTTATGATTATAACAATTAGTATATCACTGTCACATTACAGGGGTAGTCAAACAGCTGTATCAGTCACACCATTGGCTGCGTTTTATAAACCTGATCATAAGACATGAATTATTATTGATCCTCTATCCGTGTTAGAGGGAAAGAATTCCAGTGAAATGATTCATATACTAATGGTGAATGTGCGTGCATTATTTCCAAATGTGCAGAGACACAGTGTGTCTCCAGCTTGTACTTCAGGAGCCGTTGTGATAGGGGTTTTTACTTTTCCTGTCCTCTGTTATTGGTGTCTGGGGATGCCCATCTTTGAGTGGTGGTGGTAGACGTACTCTCATTCTCATTCTTTGCAATTAAAAGTCAAAAAAAATATTTAAAAATGTACAAAATGCCCTTAAACATGAAAAGTTGAAGCTGATTGGCCCTTGTGAGAACACCTTTTAAGACTGTAAACACTGTTTTAATCTGGTTTAAATCTGATGCTCATGTTTGAACTTCGGATGCTCATATTGTCTGCATCTTCATGCCTCCGTGCAGTGAGTTGCTGCTTTGTGACTGGCTGATTGGATATTTAGGTAAGCGAGAGGTTGCACCTGATAAAGCGTCTGAGTGCGTGTAGCAATAATAAGTCAATATAAGTCACAAACTCCTTATTCAGTATTTTTTTCTATTTATAATGTCAGTGAAGACAGATGCCCCTAATAGGATTGTGCAATTATCCACATTTTAATTTTTGTTAATAATCCAAACGTTATTAAAATAACATAAGCACAGGAAAATAAATAAGGATTATGATTTTTATAACTGTGATTCAAAAGCTACTATAGAGTATTGTATAGGTTGTTTTCAGTGTTTTTTTTCTTTAATTTTGTTTATTTAAAGCATTAGAAAGCAACACAGTTTATCCTCCCTGTGTGTGTTTAAAGTTCGTTTCCAAACCTTATTTAGTGATTCAGTTGGACATCAGGTACATACTGTATTTTATGCACTGGCTGAGCAGGTAATTACATTTGCTGTGATTGTTAGAGGTTGTGAGCATGTGTTTACTTCGGTGTCTAATCTATTTTTTGTCTCCCCTGTCTCCATCTCCCTCGCATCTCAGACCTGCGGGCCCAGCTGACAGACCAGATAAAGATTTTAGACTCTCAGGTGGAGGTGAAACAGCAGCAGCTCTCAGACCTGTCTGAGTTTCTCCGCCGTCGGGGTGACATCGAGTCTGAATATGCACGAGCCCTTGACAAACTCACAGAGAGGTTTACTCATAAAACAAAAAAGTAAGGCTGCATCGGTTGTGTTTATACATTTGGGTCTTTTCTGTTCCTCTCATGGGTCTGACGTGCGTGATCGTGCCATAATCTCGGTGCACATCTCTGTTACTGTACAGGAAGGAGCAGTGGGGTCAGTCTGTGTGTCAGGTCTGGTCTGTTCTGCTGACTCAGACCCGTCTGGAGAGCCGGGAACATGCAGCACTGGGTGACACCTGCTGCAACACGCTCACACAAAGGCTGGCACATGGTACAGAGGACACACATCGCCTGCACAAACGGGTGAGAGGATGTTATAGTGTAAGGTCACATGTATGAAAAGCAGCAAAAGGTAGAGGGAGAGAGGTGGCCAGCACGCGAGTCCTTCTACTCCAAAACAAGCCAATCATTTATTTTTTTCAAATGTAAAGATGATTTTACTTCTTTTACTTTACACTAAAATGACTCCTTTAAAACTGAGCAGGCTCCCAGACACGAACTTGCAAGTTTGACAAATACCAAATACAGTGACAGCTTTCATTTAGATCCTAATTTGTCTTGGTAACGCTGGGCCTCATTCACTTAAAAAAACATTACACAGACTCATCTTGTTCAAATTACTGGATGTCAGACATGTTCTCCGTACCTTCTTGTGGTTGAAATATGAGCAGAATCTTAATTAAGCCACTACAGACATGTCAGAGGAGCTAAGAGGTTTTGTCTGGCCCGACATCAAGCAGAGGAACTCTTTTAGTTTTTCTAATATCACTTTCAGCACTGTATTAAATGAATTACTGCTACTGATCAAAGTAATACTATAGAAACAATATAATACCAGCTAAGTTAAAAGTTTTCAACTCAATATATATATATATATATATATATTTGTAAAATCCTCTGTTCTGAAAGAACAGCTTTAACAAGTTTTAGCAATCAGTGCTGGCGTTTGTGTTCTCTTGTTTTTAGAAAGTGAAGAGATAATTTTATCAAGACAGAATAACTAAATCATATTTAATAAACCTCCAGGTTTTAATGCTGTCAACCTCTGAAGATCCTAAATTCCCACAGACTCAAATTTAAAGGTTCCATGTTTTTCACCCTTTTCACTCCTAATGGTACCCTAATTCTAGCGTTTAGCTGCTAGTACTATTTCTAGTACTCTTACCTGTACTAGGAGACTTAGTGTAACAGGCCTTTAAAGTGTAAAGGGCATATTGCATTGGTGAGCAACAGGAAGCCATTTTTATATATTTTGTCTTTATTTCAGAGCAAAGAAGTTGGAATCCAGATGCAAGATGAGCTGCTGAAGGTTACCACTGAACTGCAGACGGTGAGCACATTATACTGCCGTCCTGCGTGTAACAAGACAAAATACTACAGTCACTGAGACTAGCATGTTGACATGGGTTTGTGCTATTGATGAAGGCTCTGAAGACGTATAACCAGTACCACACCGACTGCCTGATAGCTGAGGGGAAACTGAAGGAAGCCGAGCGGTTGGAGGAGAGACACACCGGCAAGTCAGCTGAACTGGGCCCCGGACAGCTGGGAGGGCAGAGGCGAAGCTCTGTTAAGAAGATGGAAAGACTGATGGAGAAGGTGAGCCTGCATTTCTGTGAGAGATAAAGAACAACAGCAGTCTTAATATGTTTCTCATAAAGCAAACCACTTCCTGTATTCAAGTGCCAGATACTTGAGTACTGTACATCCGGATATTTATCAATAGATGTGGTTTCAAGTTGTTATTCGTGCTAATTCTCTCTATTACTTTTTATGTTTGTGTATGCACACGCAGAGGCATGGCAGAGTGCAGGAGACCCAGCTGAAGTGTACCAAGGCTCGTAATGACTACCTGCTGAATCTAGCAGGAGCAAATGCTGCCATGAACAAGTACTACCTGCAGGATGTCAGCACCCTCATCGACGTAAGAAACATGCACTTTGTGTCGAGTGATTGTATGTTCATGCATTTATGACACACCTCAGCCTTGTTGCCGTTTTTCTGCAGAATAATAAATGAAAGTTGTCACAGGGAGAAGAAAAACAACAGTTTGAATCCACATTCATCCACATTTTCTCACGCTTTTCTTACACCCTTTGTTTCTTCTCCCTCTCTCCTCCCAGTGCTGTGACCTTGGTTTCCATCTGTCTGTGGAGAGAGTGATGAAATGCTACCTGGCCAGCAGGTGGCGCATCCAAAAGACCGAGGAGACGGGGCTTAAGCAGTTGGAGACTGCGGTGACATCGCTGGACCAGAGTGGAGACAGAGATGCATTGCTGCAGCAACATGACGCCGCCTTCTGCCTTCCGTTCAGATTCAACTACCACCCACATGAAGGAGACCAGGTGAAGCTACCGTACCTCTGGTAGAGCTGTATGACCCAGCTCAAAGTGTTCAATAAAATGTGTGAAAGTCTAAGTATAAATGCAAGAACAGCCACATCCATTTAAGATAAGGTAAGGTTCATTTATTATAGGTGACCTGTGTGTTAATAACAGACCTATACACAGGGTTCTACAATTTCCTTTATTTCATTCGCCTCTCTCTCTTTCTACTCTCTCTGAGCAGTCCCATGAAATAAAGGCTAAAATGCTCCCCTAACATCTTAAAAACAATCTGTTGGTTGCAGCCAATATTTCTTTTCTGGCTGTGACTAAATGAAACATTTACAAGTTTTCATTTCCTAGTGCTGTGTGATTTCACTGGTCAAAATATACCTGAAAGTTTGCTGAGATCAGCACCACTTTTCTTTTACTATACCTTATTTGACATTAGTTTTATATCTCTTGTGCATTTCAGGTGTGCGAGGTCAGTGCGGAGAGCCAGGTGAGGTACGAGTTGGAGACCAGGTTCCAGCAACTTCAGTCTCGACTTGCTGCCGTTACCTTGGAAACAGAGGAGGTCAGCTAATTGTTTTCTGCCTGTTTCCTTAATGGTCTGTCTGCCCTAGTCTGTCTGACACTGCGTTAGCCAGGGTGGAGCTTTGCAACATGAGCCTTAAACCTTGAACTCGGAGCAGCTAAACCGACAAATCGCCCTTTTTTGCCTTTCTCAGATCAGTAAAACGCTTAAAGCCACACTCGCAGCCCTTCTGGACACTATGTGCGACAGTGACTGTAACCCCTCCCCCGATGTGCCCAGCAACCTATCACACGAGCCGCCCGGTGGAGGCACCCTTCCGAAACTTACCCTTGCCAAGCGTCGAGCCAATCAACAGGAGACAGAGACCTACTACTTCACAGTGAGTTAATGAATTGACATGATTAACATGAGTTTCCTGATAGCAGTTTAAATGAGCAGTGGCTTTTTTCCAAACACAGATAAAAATGATCAACTGTTTTTGATTTATTCACTATTTCTTTCTTTTTTTTCGTCTTAGAAAGTGAAAGAGTTCCTTACCAGCAGCTCTCTGGCCTCCAAACTTCAAGCCAAACATGATATCCTACAAGATGCCATACAGAAAGGTACAAGGAGGATGGATTTAATGCAGTTTGTTCCAGTGTTGCCTTTGATTATGTCTGCAAAATATCCACATACGTTAACCAAAATCCAACATGGCCGCAAACTGCCTCTTGGCTTAATGAGCATCTTGCAGGTTTTGTCACCCATATGAAAAAACTTGTCAAAAATAAAACAGAAAGAAAGCATGACTGTACATGCTCCACAGTAACATTTAGAGCAGCTACAACAGGCCAAGTATAATAAGACTGTATCAGTGGTAGTCTCAGATTCTGATAGTGGTACTGAAGCAATACTGTGCATTGCACTGAACTCTGTCATACACACACATATGCATATGTTACGAGAGATGTAATCACGCTCTCCAAAGTTATAGACTGTATACAAAAGATGGACATAGCCATGATGTCACCTGGTCATTTAGAGTTCTGTCAACCAATATGTTTTTATTTGTTTGTTTTATTTTGTTCTCAAGCCAAAAGTGACCATATTTAGATCAAAGGCTGGAGTTTTGTCAGCTAATGCTAGCAAGAATTGCTGGTTTATTGCATTCATACTGCAGGTGCAACATGCAGACAGGGATTCCTTCTCTTGACTGAGAAGTGACAGACCAATAAGGTACAAATATTTCAGTGAGCAAAACTTGAGGGGAAAAATAAGTAGTCTTGGCGAGGATGGACCACACATGCTTCAAAATGCACCAGTAGCACAGACACAGTCAAGGTTTAGTTCAGTGATTGAAATCAACAGAGGGGAAGTCTAACAGGCAGCTATCGGCTATCCGGTCGTTAAGTGATGACGTGACGAATCCTATTTCCGGGCCTAAAGTAGTCTGCGTTTAATATGGCTTTTGTGTTGTTAACATGTTTAATGTTTTGTATTTTCTTCTATTTAATCTCA